ATTTTTGGTCATTTGACTTGCCGAGAAGAACCTCGCCGAACGTTCCAACTATCCCTCCCTTCACTCCGGCAGGGAGTCAACAGGAAATGCTTTTACGTAAACAGTTTGTTCCAACCTTGTCAATAAAATCAGATGGAATTTCACTCAGTTTGTGTTGTACACGACTCTTGGCTACGACCATCAAGGTTTTTCTGTACAATTCGTAAAACAAGTTTTTGTGTTGATTGGCTGAGGAAGCCATCTTGTATGGTATTTTTTTTTTCCAAAAGGTTAATCAGTTTTAGATATGCACCAAATGATTTTTTTTTAATTTGATTAAAATCTGTTAGTTCTCCTAATATTTATCATAAATAACTCTCAGCTAGGACCGCATCGAATTTTACTTCAATAGCGAAAAAAATAATTGAATTACAGCTATTTCTGTGTTTACTAATCTTGATCAGCTTGGAGTCCATACTGAATTGGAACGACTCAAAACGCTAAWCACATGAAGATGTACCTTTAAGTGTTACTTTCTGCAAGTTTCRTTCAAATTCATTTAGTGATGCTTTTGATATTTTGCTAACAGACAAACGCAGGCCAAAAGGTGAAGGCCGGCAATAAAAAACTGGCTCAAGCAGCTGGACTGAAAAGCAAAGCCAAACAGGGAGCATTTAAATATGTTAGAAAAAAATGGAGTTAAGAATAAAAAAACGTGAACCATATTTTCTGCTCTTAAACAAAATTGTGAAAGAATGTGATTAAAACACACATTCATGTTTGTTGTTCTATCCTCATAGGGACTTTGCACTGACTTCCATTCATTTACGCTGACCCCTTACCCTAACCTAACAAGGATGTGTGTACTGGGAAAATGGTCAAAACGTCCCCATTAGGGCTGTGTATTGGCAAGAATTTGGCGATACGATACATATCATAACAGAGGGGTCACAATACGATGTATCCCGATGTATTGCGATACTGTAAGCAAGGCAATATATTGTGAAATATTGTGATTTTTTTTGTCCAAAAATTCAATTAAATAAAAACCTCTTACTGAAAAAAAAAAAAAAAAAAAGAAAAGCTAATGTTTACCTACAATGCTAATGCTACCCTTACTCTCTGGCGCTCAAGAGGTAGAGGAACCAAATGGCTGGCTCACTGCTGCCAACTAGTKGTCAGAGGCTGAACTACAACATGAAAATGAACCGTTGGCAAGAAGGTTGACATTTTAAACCTTAATTAAAAATCGATACAGGGCTTTAGAATATCTATACAGTATCGGGAAATGAAATATCGCGATATTTCAGTGTATCGATATTTTCTTACACCCCTAGTCCCCATCAAGTAACAAAAACAGACATGTCTTTCTCACTTGTGGTAACTAAAGTGAGTACAAAAAAATGATAAAAAGGAAAAAAATCATTTTCAGGAAGCATTGTCCCCACAGGCRATCTAATCCTCTTTATTCAGTTTTAGATCATTGTGAGCAGCACTTCCATCATCTGAGCTGCTGCAACAGGAGCACACAGCCTCATTACATATTGTGTTCACGAGTCCTTAAACCTCACGAGGGGCTGCWGCTTCTTACAGCTGCTGACTCTGAAGGCAGCAGGAATCTGCTTTACCGTTTCCTGACAAGTTTTTTTTTTTTCCCCCTCAGCCGGTTGTTTCGTCCTGTTCGTCCCTGACGCTCGCTGCAGATTATACTACTTACGCCCCTAAATCTGTTGTGTTCCCAGGTTTGAATCCTAGCATTGTGCACACGTTTAATCCCAAAAAAGAAAAAAAGAAAAAACCATGACGTCTCTCTGGGATGTTTTAAATGAGGTTTGTGAGTTCAGTGAGTTCAAGAACAAACAGCTCTCTCTTTAAAAAAGAAAAAAAAAAGGCATCAGTTTTTTTTGCTTGCAGTTTCTTGCTTTTATCTCTTGAGATGGATGCTATCTGTTCCTGATGGGCGAGTGCATAATTTGACTAATTGATTTGAACGAGAGCTGCCCTCTTTTCTTTGTCACCAGGAGCGGACTGATTTGATTTCAGCAGCTCATTTGGGACAATTGAAGTGTCTTCTTTTTAATGAACAGTCACAGTCTTTAACTCAGCGGATCTGCTCCAGATTTAATGCACGAGCTTTGCCTGCTAGAGGCGAATGCATGTCTTTTTTTATTTTTTATTTTTTTTTAACAGAATACCATCAAAACGTTGCACCTGAGTGCCCCCAAAGAGCTGAGAGCTTGTGTGCTGCCTGGTCAGACGCCTCTGCAGGAGGTGGTGAGTCAGTGAGGTGACCTCCGTGGATTATTTGAGATCAGCTTGATTTGCTGCCAGGCCTGGTTTTTGTCAGATTGACCGATTTTAAAATTAAATAAATAAGAATTAAGTAATGAATGAACACTGACGGACACACAAACTGCAGAGCTGCCACACTCTGCCAGCAGCGGGACTCAAACTGTGTCAGCGTTGTTATTATTAGAGTCCGTGTGCTGTCATTGACATCCCTTTGACCTCCTTCATCATCATCTTCATCATGACTCAGTAGCTGAGAGTCATCCCCAACACACACTCTGGGTGCTTTAACAGACTGAGCAATATCTTTGTTGAACATTTTGCCATTAACAACTCAGAGTCAGCTCTGTCTGTCTGTTAGCAAATAATCTCACAAACCACTGGGCAGATTTTAATGAAACATTCAGGAATTAATCACTGAATGCATCACTAGTAATGTTCAACTTTTGGAGAAAACCTATTTTAAGATGGCCGCCACAGTCAACTGAGCTTGGAAAACATAAAAATGGCTATAACTCAGTCAATTTTGCATTTATTTTGCTTAAATTTGCTGTACTTGTAGCTAAAAGTGCTACATTTTATGCATGATTTTTACGTAAAGACATTAGCATTTACTGTTTAAGTCAACTCTGTCTGTTAGCAAAATATCCCACAAACCACTGGACAGATTTCAAGGAAACATTCAAGAATTAATCACTGGATAAACCTCGAGAAATGATCAACTTTTGATGAAAGCCCAATTCAAGATGGCCGCCACAGTCAACCGAGCATAGAAAACATAAAAAATGGCTATAACTCAGTCAGTTTTGCATTTATTTTGCTAAATTGTTTTTGTAGTTGTAGCTGAGAGTCATTCACATTACGTAATTGAAGCGCTATATTTTACATGAGATTTTTGCCTAAAAAAATGCATTTACAGTTGAAGTCAACTTTGCCTGTCTGTTATCAAAATGTCTCAAAAACCACAGTTTTTAAGAAAATCACTTATTGAATCTGCATGCGTAACTGAATATTGACTTTAGCCATCACAAAAACAGCTTTATCTCAGTCACTTTTACAGAYACTGAGGTAAAGTTGCGTAAAAATGGGCGATATGCATTATTTCACAGAAAACTAACCGTTAGTTATTTTTTCTGAGCAGATTAAGTTACAAAAGCAAGGACAGAAAATGAGGTTACCACACACACACACACACACACACACACACACACACACACACACACACACACAAACACAAACACAAATCTAGCTTTTCTTCTCCTAATGCTCTTCAGCTTATTGGGGGCAGCTGTTTTGACACAGATAGACAGACTACCTGACCCGGTTCAGCTCTGCGTGCTGGCAGATGGCGCTGAGCGCTGTGGGTGAGGAAGAGGGATGGCACTAAACCTCTGGAGACTCTAAAACGTCTCATTAACCGTCACCCAACGTCGGACCCAGGAGGACGGTGAGGGTCTTCCATCGCCTCGACCCGTTCATTCTAACCTGAAACCAGCTCAGTGTCCTTGAAGCACCTGGGATATATTTAACTCTGTGATTAATGTGTGTTTACTGTTATGTGTGGTTCCAGTGTAAATAACAAACATGAGCAAAAGATCCTAAAAAAAAAAAGCTGTTGGACAGAATTGATTTGTCGGTAAGACGGAGCACAGATGTCATCGTGTTGGTTTTATTTTCAGTTCAGAGTGAGGAGGATCCAGCAGTGTTACCTAACCAAGCTCATGACCCGTTTTGAACAGCCGGGTCACTTTGAGCTGCTTTACGACAGAATGCTGCATCACCTCCTGTAGCGCTTTAAACTTGTGGTTACAGTCAGTATTTGTGTCCTTACTTCTCTCCTGGTGGTCCCGCTGTCCTCGGTCCTCTCAGGCAGGATGCCCTGCTGGAGGCTGGAGGGGGAGCTGCCGGCCTGGTGTTGGGTGGCAGGAGGGGGCTGTATGCTGGAGGCAGCAGATGGGAGGATGGGCTCCACCTGATGCAGGCCAGTGGACCTGCTGACCTCCCCGCTGTAGGCAGCCTGGTAGCTGGTCTCACGTGGGACGTGGGTGGGCTCTGTCCCCGGGCTGGAGTACTGGGCCAGGGGGGGTTTCCTCACACTTCTGGCTGGTTTCGCCCCCGTCCACGGCCGGTACTCTTCCCTGGAGGAGGAAAGCTGCATCAGATGGAGGCTGGAGACAAAAGCTTCCTCATATCTAAAAACCAGACCAGAACGCTGAATGACTGCTGACATTAACTGAAGCTGAAACTGAGTTAGTGAAGCCAAAAGAAGCTGAACGTTAGCTAAAAGGAGCAAAACACTGGCTAAAACCTAAAAACAGAAGAATACCATAAAACCTAGATTTCACAACACAAGGTGAAAGTGAGCAAAACACTAGCTAAAAGCTAAAAAGAGCAAAACATTAATGGCTAAAAAGGCAGAACACTAGCTAAAGGCTAAAAACACAGAATACTAACAAAGTTAAAAGGAACATAACACCAGCTAAAAGTCAAAAAAAGCAAAACACTAACTGCTAAATATGCAGAAAACTAAGCTAATTTTCACAACACAAGACGAAAAATAGAAAACCACTAGCTAAAWGCTACAAAGAGCAAAACACTAAAAGCTACAAAGGCAGAACACAAGCTAAAGAAAAGTGCTGCACATTTTCTAAAACCTAACAAAGCAAAAATAACAACTAAAGGCTATAAAAGCAGAATGCTAATTAAAAGTTCAAAGGAACATAATAACAAAGGCAGAGTAGAAAAGCTAAAAGTTATAGCAGAACACAAGCTGAAAGCTAAAAATAATACACTAGCTAAAATAGAAGCTAAAGTCGCAAAAGKTTTCTAAAACTGGCAACAAAAGTAGCTAAAGGAAACATAGCAAAAGTTTAGCTAAAATTAGCAAAAGGCTAGTTAAAATAAATGAAAAAGTAGACAAAAAATGTTGGGTAAAACTAGCAAAAACTAACTAAAGGCTAATAAGTTTAATAAAAAGACAAATAAAGATGAGATGAGATGCATCAGGACAAAAAGACAAATATTGAGCAACAAAAGCAAATTTTAAAGATAACATTGAATAAATTCATGATTTGAATATTACTATAAATAAAAAAAGTGGAGTTCCCCCGGAGGAGCTGGAAGAAGTGGCTGGGGAAAGGGAGGTCTGGGCCTCCCTTCTGAAGCTGCTGCCCCCGCGACCCGACCCCGGATAGGCGGAAGAAAATGGATGGATGGATGGAAAAAAAGTTAAATGTATGTGGGAAATATAAAAGTTATAGCTAAAATCTAAAAGTCAGGCATGTCTTATTAAAGAAAATGTTTTTTTTTTTAATTATTATTATTGATCAGCATCATTTTCTCTTGGTTCCCATCATCAGCCGGTTCGGTCCAGCTGCTCAGATGAAAGAAACCGAACCAAAGCAGACTCCAGGACCCGTGTCCCGGTCAGGGACAGCTCCTGGTCCTGAAACAGAACAAACGTACCTGTAGGAGCTGGTGGTGCTGTCCTCCGGGACCTGCTGCTCCCCGCGCCTCCTCTGCTCTCCCCCCGGGCTGCTGCCCCCGTTACTGATCCAGGGGAAGTTCTCCTTCCTGGGTATGGGCCAGGGCTTAAAGTCCTGCTTGTACTGGGTCACGCTGGGGAAGGGCTGGTAGTCCTCCCGGGGCTTGTTGTCCCTCCGCGCCCCGAACGAGCCCCGGCTCGCGCGCTGCGGGGGGGAGCCCGGCTTGGCGCGGGGCTCCGGGGCCGGGCGGGACTCCGAGTCGGTGAGCTGCTTGGTGACGGAGCGCACCTCCTGCTCCGAGATGTCCGAGTAGTTCTGGATGGTGAGCGGGACGGACAGGTCCGACTTGTCGAACTGGTTCCAGAAGCGAGCCAGGCAGCAGACCCTGCTGATGCACGGCCAGGCCATCCTCAGACTGAGGGGAGGAGGAGGACGAGATCAGGGTTCAGACATGGTGTGTGTGTGAGGGGGGAGCAGGGGGGGTCCAGGAGACCATGGTGTCAGCAGACAGCACACAGGAGGAGTGTCAGCACAGATGAGCAGGTCTGAGTCCTCCTCTCACGTGGTACCACAACCTCCACTATCCGAGCCCAGCTCTGCAGCTCCAGCTGGTGTCTGATTGGACCCAGAATCAGAGGAAACCTTCAGTTTCAGTTCATGTCTTTTTTTAAAGGCGCCTATTTGAAAATCAGTCAGCTGAGAGGAGTTATAACTGATAAAGAGGAGAACTAATCAGAAACTTGACATTTTGTATTTTATGTATTTCTGCAGTTCTATGGGTTGTTTATAAAGTGAGTTACTTTGTTTTACCTAAAATGTTGCTTTTTATGTTTGCATTTCTGTTACAGACTGCATCCTGATATTAATAACCCTGAAACCTTGATATATGTTAACTTTAAACCAAGTTAAGGTCTTAAGTGTTTTTCCTTTTCAGAACAAGCTGCACTAAGGAACAATGCTCTGAGGTGTTTATGTCAAAAGTAAAAGACAATTATACACAAAAAACTAAATGAATTTAACTGCAGTTTATTTGTTTGTTTTTTAATAAATCATTTAATTTGTGTTTTATCACATGTACTGATACTTATTTATTTTAGTTTTTGATTTTTAATAAAGGTTAAGTTAATTGATGCTTTTTTATTTTGTAGATGCTGATTAATCAGCTAAAAGATGACCTGCAGACCTTTACTGCCCTCTACAGGCTGAAGTGAGAAATGACACCAGGAGCAGAAAGGCTTTTATATCTGGGCAGAAATCATTGTCTAGAGCAGTGGTTCCCAAACTTTTTATCTTCTGATCCACAAAATATTCATGGCAAAAACTTGTGACCCCAAATATTACTGGTCTGAGTACACAAACTTTGTTAATAACCCTAAAAACACAGGCTTTTTGACAATCTAAACAGCTTATACACAAATATAAATACTTGTATATACTATTTTGTGTTTTTGTAATAATTATAAGGAAAATATTACATCAGCAATTATTTTATCACCCTTTAAATTGATTTCTGGAGATTATCCAAGGTGCTTCATGACCCATAATTGGGTCCCAAGCCCAACTTTGGGAACCAAAGTGCAGTGGTTCCCAAACTTTTCAGCTTTTGACCCACAAAATAACAGTAGCAGAGACCTGTGCCCCCAGATATTTTTGGAGGATAAACATTTGTATCAGGTCAACTAATCATGGACATAGTAATAATATTTTTATACTACATTTATCCATTTTAAATACACTAACCTCACTCATTTGTAACAACTAAGGCAAAAATGTAATTAATTCAGAAAATCTTTTCAGGACCCCACCTTGATGTTTCGGGACCCCACTTTGGGTCCCGACCCCAACTTTGGGAAACACTGGTCTAGATAAGTAAACAGGTGCAATTATCAACAAATAGATATTGTGTGTGTAACCATTTATCAGTTACGTGTTTAAGGACAGTAGATGTGCAGAAACAATCAAAATAAACTTTAAAGGAAACAGTCGGTTGACCCCAGGTTGGATGGGGTCCTGAAAGATCAGGCTGCTTCATGCTGTAAGGTAATACAATAACTTTATTTCAGTTTTAATAGTTTCTCTGAGGTAAAGATACACCGAAATAAATTGAAAACCATTTTCAGGACATCTATAAAATTTCAGATTCACAAAAAATATTCATCAGTTATTGTCTGTCCAAATAATAATTAAATACTACAATATGCGCGTGTTTTATTCCGAACGAATGTATTTCTTAGAAAAAAGACAAGTTTTTTTGTCAATAAGGTTACCTGAAGGCGCCACTGAAATCAACCACGTTTTCAGGAAGTTTTTGAACGCAGCATGACTGCAGGACACCCACGTGTTAAAACGTGTTGCTCCGCCTCCAAAACACATCTACAGAAAAAAAGTTCCTGCATTTTAATTATAGTTCTTTTAAAAAATAGTTTTTTAAACTTGGGAAAACTTATTTTTTATGCTTTATTTTGTTTAAGTAAGTTTGTCCAGTAAACTTGTTCGAAGCGGTCAGGGGGTTGTTGTTGTTTACTGGCATATTTACAGCACGTGGAGTCAAATCTCGGGTAAAAATTCATTTTTACCGAAGAAACGAAAGACAGCAAAACTACGGAGGAGTTTGTGACTAACAAGTGAGTAATGTTTAAACTAAAGTTTATTTAGCGCCGCAAATCGTTTAAAATCAGCTTGAAGCGTCTGCGGCTTCCGTAGCTGGTCTTTGACGCATGCGCAGTTTCACCACTGTCAGCCGAGGGAAGTTCAAGAGCATCGGGAAAAAACATGAAAAGGTCTCATCTGTTATTAAAGGAGTTTATTACGGCTTCCTATATAATTAATCAAGTTTGGAAACCAACGATAAAATTAATGAACTAGCCCCCCCCCCCAAAAAAAAAAAAAATCAGATTTGTTATAAACAGAGCAAACAGTTTGTAAAGTGTGAAAACATGCTAAATAATACTTAAACTGGCATGCTGTAGATTTTACTTAAAACCAAACTGATATCAAAATAAACAAATATATAAATAGCTATTTAGCTTTAAAACAAGTTACACCATCCATATATCTCTACATTGTAAATGAATATAATCAAGGAATTAAAAACTATTTTTTTAGTATCCATCCATCCATCCATCCATCCATCCATCCATCCATCCATCCATCCATCC